CAACCTCTTTCCCTCCCCCCCCCCCCCCCCCCCCCCCCCCCCCCCCCCCCCCCCCCGCGAGCCGATTCCCAGCGCAGCAGCCGAAGCAAAGAAGTCCGCCAGGATCCGAACTCGGCAGAAATCAAATCGACGGCAAACCGGTCATTAACGGGTCGCCGCGCACTGACCGTCGGCCAATCGACGTAATGAAAGCAATGGTATGAGAGGAAGAAGACAGGAAATAACATGGTTTAATGACCCTCAACCGACCCCCACAACCCCCGAGTAACTGCACGTCGATTCGAAGTATGTGTGTCTGTACTGAAAGCCTTTGCAGCCCGCGCRGCTTCGACAMCGAAGCGCCTYCGCACGYGAACGACAATAAKGAYTGCCACCGTCAGCTACCCCTATATACCCCAGCCACGGCAACACACACGGCGAGCTTGATTGTGCACCCATGGGTCCCCGACAATAACAACACACGTGATGGACCAGGCCGCGCAAAAGGACGGTTAGCATCACCCGGAACTGAAAATTTCGCCGCGCTCTGAACATCGTGTCCATGCTCTGCCGCTGTCAGCAGGAAGGCTAGCCGTGGGTGCAGCACCTCACAAGTCGTCGCGGCGCGAGCCCCAACAGACCCCTGCGAACACCGATTGCCCCTATCGACCAAACTACCTGATTTCAAAAGGCAAAGGTAGAACAACGCGCAACTCCAACACCCAGGCGGCGTGGAGAAGAAAATTACAACCATGGATGGAAGACCCTCTCGGAACCCCAACAAATCCCGGTCCGCGAAAACGAGAAGGCCATCTCCGACTTGTGCGATGGCAATGTTGACACCTGACTGCGCGAACCGCAAAGCACGCCGAGGCAGAAGCATGTCGGCGACTGAACCTCACCTATCGCGACGATTCCTTTCATCGGAGGGCAACGAAGATCAACGACAGACCGCATTTTGACCCGGCCACAAGAATCGTCGTCAACCCCAATAAACCCCTTTAAGGGCAATCCTCAAGACGAAAAATTTTGCGCACCACCAGGCCACCGCGCACGAAAACGCACGAGGAAGTCTAAGCCGTTGAAAATGACGGTCAGAATAACGCAGAGTCCCGAAGCTCGCAGGAGCCGTCGTTCAAGCGGGCCTTGGAGCACCAAGGAACCGGTTTTCGCGCGGCCGGTGTCATTTGAAGGGAGCGTCAGCGGGGGCACGCAAGGAACGCCATTTTCGGGCGCACAGAAGGAAGGCCATCGCGCTTTCAATTGGTCGTCGTGCGACAACACTCGCAGAACAGAGGGTAGCGGTGGATGTACCACCAGACAATTCGGCGCAGCGCGACCCCAAATTGACCCCTACAGACACAGACGGCGAGCAATGTTGTGCACGAATACTCCTCGCGCAATCGACTCGCACGCAAAGGTCCACGCATCATGCGAAGGACTGTTAGATTCCCACGGATCCTCAAAGTCCGCCGGGATCCGAACTCGGCAGAATGCGAGTGCAGCGAGTAACAAGTTTTCGCATGGCTGCAACTATTGGAACGGGTGGTTGGCGTTTGCACAGAAGCAGGCCATGCTTGGGGGAACCCCCCACAAACCCCCATAAGCCATGTCTTGAATCGAGCATTTTGCGCACCCCTGGGCCTCTGACTTCCAGAACACGTCGGGATCGACGGCAGACCGACAACAGGCACGTCTGCTGTCATCGACGGCAACCCCCACAAACCCCTACAAGGGCATTCATGACGGCGAAGAATTTTGCGCACCAATACTCCTCCTGGAAGAAATCGCACGGAAAGGTCCACGCCTCATGGGAAGGACGGTTAGATTCCCACGGTTACATTCCCGCGGTCAGATTCCCGTAAATAACATGTCGAAATGCTGAAATGGATGGAAGACCCCCTCCCCTGCAACCCTTCCAAACCCCGACTCCGCCAGTCGACATGTCGCGCGCCGGGAACGTCGACGTGCGACAATGCGAACCGGAAAGCGCTCCGGAACACGAGCACATCCGCGACAAGACTCCGCGCTCCGCGACGGTCCAAACCCGTAGGGGGCAACATAGATCGACGGCAGACCGATGAAGGTCACGTCTGTTGTCACCGACGGCCACCCCCATAAACCCCTACGCGGGCATTCCAGGCGGCGAGGAATTTTGTGCACCAATACTCCTCCCTGGACTAACTCGCACGAAAAGGTCCACGTCTCTTGCGAAGGACGGTTAGATGCATGCGGATTCTCAAAGTCCGCCGGGATCCGAACTTGGCGGATGCGAGTGCAGCAAGTAACAGGTCTTCGCGCGGCTGCAGCTATTGGAACGGGTGGTTGGCGTGTGCACAGTAGCTGTTGATGCTTGGCCGCACCCCCCATATATCCCTAAACGCCAATTCTTGAAGCGAGCACTTTGCGGAACGAAGGGCCTGTGACTACCAGAACACGGCGGGATCGACGGCAGACCGACAACGGACATGTTTGCAGCAACCGACGTCAACCCCCGTAAACCCCTACACGGCCATTCCAGACGGGAAGGAATTTTGCGCAGCAGAACTCCTCCCGGAAGCAACGGGCACGCAATGGTCCACGCCTCATGCGAAGGACGATTAGATTGCCGCAGATCCTCAAAGTCCGTCGGGATCCGAACTTGGCGGATGTGTGTGCAGCGAGCAACTGATTTTCTTGTGGCTGCAGCTATTGGAACGTGCGGTTCGCGTTTGCACAGAAACAAACGATGCTTGGCCGCACCCCCCATAAACCCCTACAAGCCATTTCTTGAAGCGAGCATTTAGCGCACCCCAGGGCCCCCGACTACCAGAGCACGTCGGGATCGACGGCCGACTGACAACGGACACGTCTGCTGCCACCAACGGCAACCCCCTTAAACCCCTACAAGGGCATTCCAAACGGCGAGGAATTTTGCGCACCAATACTCCTCTCGCAATCAAGTCGCACGCAATGGTCCACGCGTCATGTGTAGGACGGCAGGATTCCAGCGGATCCTCAAAGTCCGCCGGGATCCGAACTTGGCGGATGGGAGTGCAGCGAATCACAGGTTTTCGCGCGGCTGCAGCGGTTGGAACGGTTGGTCGGTGTTTGCACAGAAACAGATGTTGCTTGGCCGCACCCCCCATAAACCCCTATAAGCCATTTCTTGAAGCGAGCAATTAGCGCACCCCAGGGCCTCCGACTACCAGAGCACGTCGGGATCGACGGCAGACCGACAACGGACACGCATGATGGCACCGACGGAAACCCCCGTAAACCCCTACAAGGGCATTCYAGACGRYGASGAATTTTGYGCACCAACACTCCTCTCGCAATCAAGTCGCACGCAATGGTCCACGCGTCATGCGTAGGACGGTTGGATTCCAGCGGATCCTCAAAGTCCGCCGGGACCCGAACTTGGCAGATGCGAGTACAGCGAGGCACAGGTTTTCGCGCGGCTGCAGCGGCTGGAACGGTTGGTCGGCGTTTGCACAGAAGCAGATGATGATTGGGCGCACCCCCCGTAAACCCCTACAAACCATTTCTTGAAGCGAGCATTCTGCGCACCCCAAGGCCTCTAACTGCCAAAACTCGTCGGGATCGACGGCACCCTGATAACGGACACGCATGATGGTGGAAACCCCCGTAAACCCTTGAATGGGCTTTCCGTACGGCGAGGAGTTTTGCGAACCAATACTCCTCCCGGTAGCAACTCGCACGCAAAGGTCCACACCTCATGCGAAGGACAGTCAGTTTCCCGCGGATCCTCAAAGTCCGTCGGGATCCGAACTTGGGGGATGCGAGTGTAGCGAGTAACAGGTTTTCGCGCGGTCGCATGTATAAGAATGGGTGCTTGGCGTTTGCACAGAAGCAGGCGATGCTTGGGCGCACCCCCCCATAAACCCCTATAAGTCATCTCTCGAAGCGTGCATTTTGCGCAACCCAGGGTTTCCGACTAGCAGACCACGTCGGACAGTCCGGGGTCTTGAACGAGGCGGTTGGATTTGCGCGGATCCCCGAACTTCCCGAAGTCCGCTGAGATCCGAACTTGGATTGTAGAAGTTGACATCACCACGGCCTTGCTACTGCCTCAGAACGTTATTCCAGGAATTCTTTCAGAAGAAATTGATTGTAGAAATGTTTAGACCGTAGTTCGAACAGCCAAAAGTGTTGGATATGCCCTTACGTTCGTGCGGAGAGGAAATAAAGCGACAGACGCGCTTTGTGTCATTACGTGCGCCGGCAATAGAAGCTCACAGCGTTGAATATGTGGTTTTAACAACGCGAGTCGATAGCTCCGAACACCCTGCCAACCGCCACCTTGCGAGGGTCGCAACAGGAAGTTCGGATCCCGGCGAACTTCGCTTGTTGGCGCTTGCGATGTGGCGAGCTGCGCAAGGAGTTTGTCGGCGTAATCATGATGACGCCGACAAACTCCTTGCGCAGCTGTGACTTGAGAGATGTTTGCCTTCCGCTTCTGTGACTTGATGTGCTTTTCCCTTCTGAAGGGCGGGGGTGTCGAGCTCGAGTGCACTGCTCGTTTTGTTTTGCAACGTGGCTCGTGCGGAAGTTCTCTCTCTCGCACTCTCATGGCATGACGGGGTTTTGTAATTGCATGGGTCCTACGTCTTTTAGATTTCGTGGTCCTTTAATTGTCGTTCCGTCGGGTTCTTCTTCGGAAACGTGTATTCACTTTCCGTTTCGTCTTTCTTATGTTGTACAGGGGTAGGGTCGTCTCGAACACGGAGATCCTCTAAATATCCGGAACACATACTGCATACAGTCCCGGCTTGACGACAAAACACAAGGACATGTTAAAGGCGTCAGGGGTTGATGTCGAAATCGGGAAGAAGGAGCATGCCATTGCCATTGAGGAGTGTCTTTCCCTTCTGCCCCCAGAGAAAGGGACATATCCACGATCTGTGACTAGGGGTCAGGCCATGTATGAGAAATACTTAGCTTCTCGTCGTGTGATAAAGGAGAATCCTTAGTGTTCCATTTCTCACTTCCCCCTCTTTCCTTCGCTCAATGTTGTGCAGTGCGGGCCACGACACCTGGAACAGCAGTGATTGCGATTGGAAGCTTGCGGGTTTTGGACGACATTGAACGAGGCTTGGTGCCACCTGACACTGTACTCTCGACCCTCCACGATGGTCAGTTGCGAATTGCAGCGAAGGATATTCTCACCCTCTCACTTACCGACGACAGGGTGAATGATGAGGTGGTCAACTTCTACATGGCGCTATTAGGAACGACCGCATATGGGACAAGTGACATCCCGCCAGGCCTTCGAGTATTCACCTTTAATTCTTTCTTCTTCAGTAAACTGCAACTTCAAGGGTACGGTGGGGTGGAAAGATGGGCTAAAAACGTGGATCTGCTTGAATATGACATTATCTTTGTTCCTGTCCTCAAAGATAATGATCACTGGATCCTCCTTTCCGGGAGCTTGAGAGATAATGTTCTTGAGATTTTCGATTCTTTTTCTTGCGTTGTAGCCGATTCTAGTTTTTACCTTAGTGTTTTCGAGTTGATCGTACACTATTTGGAATGTGAAACATCACATAGGCGCTCGTGCAGGCGCTGGAAGTCGGTGGCAGCAAATGTTGTTATAGAGGGAGTTCCAAGACAAATGGATGGAGTTAGTTGCGGGGTGTTTATGTTGATGTTTGCGACACTGTTGCAACGTGGCGATCGACCGCCTTTCAGGTTCTCTTGTAAAAATATTCTGTATATTAGACGACAACTGACATCATGTGTTTTGGAATGCCGTTGTCTTTGATGGATTCGATTGATTTGCAAACTTCTGTTTCAGAATATTTCATATTTTAACTGTCGCTTTCACAACGACATTACTTTCTTTCAGTGTTGCGGGTTTGAGTTGTCTTTGGTATGTCGATTGCCAGTTTGGTGTCGCGTATTGCCTTCGGAATCTCTGTCAGGTCCGTCTCGTCTGTCGTGTCATTACATTCATCGCATTGCAGTCCTCGTTGCAAATTGTGTCCAGGTCATCCAAGGTTGTGCATATAATTCACCTCCAAATGATATTCGTGTGTGTGGTGCGACATGACAAATTGGAGTGTGGATGCAAGACAAATCTCGGTGAGTGTGTGGGTGTGAGGTTCGTTATGCAAAGAGTGAAAGACCAGTGACATCACGTCTCTTGTGTGCATAGACAATCATGTACTTGTGACCGCCTGAATTACATGTGACCGACAATTTTGCGTTCTTGACCAGGAAAAATAAATTGTATGTCAAAAATAACAGTTACTGTTTGTACTTCTAAAGAAGTCTGAATCTCTACAACATCCAGACAACCGCCTCGGACGAGACGATAGCCATGCATGTACAACTCACGCATAAAAGAAATAAATAGTATTATCCAACAAGGATTCAATCATGACAACTTGCTCATCACATTCACAAACTTGAAGTTTGACAAGTGTNGAAATAAATAGTATTATCCAACAAGGATTCAATCATGACAACTTGCTCATCACATTCACAAACTTGAAGTTTGACAAGTGTGGCTCCCGACACACTATCGCACAGGCATCCCGGATGGGCGTGCCTGTCGCTACTCTACGTCTTCTAATATAATTATCCAACGAGGATGCAATCATGACACATTGCTCGTCACAATTATGGAATTGAAGTTTAACAAGTACGGATCCCAGCACACTTCCGCACAGGGTTCCCTGATGCACGTGCCTGTCGTAAATCGTTTATGAAGTTTAACAAGTGCGGATCCCGACACACTTCGGCACAAGATTCACGACACATTTTTGAAGTTCAACAAGTAAGGCTCCCAGCACACTTCCATATAGGGTTCCCTGATGGGCGTGCCTGTCGTTATTCGTTTATGAAGTTTAACAAGTACGGATCCCAGCACACTTCCGCACAAGGTTCCCGTACGGCGTGCCTAACATGTACGGGTTTGAAGACGCTTCCTCATTTGGGATATCATTTATAAAGTTTCACAAGTACGGATCTCAGCACACTTCTGCATGTGCTTAAGCCGTGGATGGGCGTGCCTACGTTGCTTGGAATGCAGCCAAAAATGAATTCGTTAGAAAGAGGACACAGTATAATGTCCTATTTTAACGAATAACATGTTTATTACGCGAGACACCGAGCACATTGCAGTACGCCTTGACGCACATCGAACGTTCCAACTCTACAGGGTGGACATGTTTGTGTCCACCCTCATTTAGCGTGAAATCTTTAATACTTTTCATCCACCACTCAGCTCGCTCTGCCGAACTCTTACTGTACAGTCCTTGTCTAACCTTTAGGACTTCCTCAGGCGACACGTCGTAACAACAACGAGCCTTGCAACATGCCATGCCGCGCACCATGAGCAGTCTTTTTGCGGACAACATGTTTCTCGCTCTTTTGTACTGTTTTTCCCTCCTAGCGTTCCTATTAGCCATGCTATACGGTCGTCTCTCCCCTGGCAGAGGTGCGGGCAAAATTTGTAGTATCGCCCTTCTCTCTGCATCACCCCCGCCAGACGCTTCCGGCCCAGACTGGCTCTGAACTGGAATCGCATCGTCACTTCGCACTTGCGTCGGACTCAACTGTGCTGTGGAAAGTTCCTTCGAAGAACAGTCGGTGGCAACCAACTTCATAGTACTGGAGCTATCGCGAAGCGAAGGTGCACTGGAAGAGGACTGTTGTCCAGACGAGTAATCAGTGGCCACCAACTTCTATCTCTCGTCATCAGATGTTGTGAAAGAAGCAGCCATTGGCAAGCAACCGTTGTGCGCCGAAGTTGTGTAGTGCACATCGTCTGAAATATAGAACTCGATTCGGGAGGCAGACAGTTCTTCGCCTGCGGACGGTGTCGCCAAATGCATAGGCAATTGGATGTAACCTGCAAAGCTCTCACGAAAAGTGAGACTTCGTTTTCTGGGGAAAGCCGTAGTGGACTCTTGGAATGACAAACTGTCGGAAGAGCCTTTTGGGGCCAACTCTAGGTGTTGCGGCTGGTAATGCAAGTCGATGGGCTGTTCGGTTTTCATAGCCCGGTTCATGCGGCCGTTCGCTGAGCCGTCCTTAGCGTCGTCATGTAACCGTCGGTGTAGCAGATGCGATTCCCATTAGCGAAATCGATTGAACTCTCCAGTGCGGAGTGAACGGGTCATTCGAATGTCTCCACACCATGCAAAACAGCGGAGCAAACTGTAAGCACGAATACTGGGTTTTAGTTGCTCTCCCCGCGATGCCAGGGGTACCATGGGGGCCATGTTGACTCATTCCGTATATTGGGGAGGCAAAGCACAGCCCCTGTAAACCCCGATTTCGACACCGAGAATGCTAGCTCGTTCGCTGGCACTGCTAATTTCCACAGGCCGAACGTTGTCAACATAAGCGCGGGAACCCGGTCGCTAACAGGTTCAGATCTCGGCGCAAACCCGCGGTGATTTTGACAATGTTGTCACCGCTGAAATTCGCAGTGACAGCGAATGAGCTCGCTTTCTCGATGTCGAAATCGGGGTTTGCAGGGGTCCCATGGAGGCCATGCCGAGTCATTTCGTAATGTGTGAAGGCAAAGCATATCCTTGCATCGAGGGGAGAGCAACTAAAAACCAGCGCTGACCGCAAACCGAAGCGACCACTGCCACCGTCGGCAACCCCTCAGAGCGATGGTCCAAGCCGTCAAGAAGGACGGTCAGATTGACCCGTACCCTCAAAGTCCACCGGGATCCGAACTTGGCAGTTGCAGGAGCCTCGAGGAACCTTTTTTTATGCGTGTGCAGCGGATCCAGTGTTGGACCGTTGTGTGCACAGAATAATGGCCACGCGTGGCTGCAGTACAACACGAAACAGCTGGGCATGGTCCCCAGGCGACCCCCGTAAACCGAGACTCTCTCCATCGAGAAAGCGTGCTCGCGCTATTGCACAACAGTTGTCTGCAGGCCGACGCACAAGCTGCTCATCCCGGATTTATCGAAGAATGAAAGGACTGCCGTGGCTGAAAGACCACTCTACAACCCCCATAAACCCCGGTTCGCCCAATCGACAAGGCGAGCTCGAGGGTGCTTCGAGCTCGCGTGTTCGCTCGACAGACAACATCTTCGAGAAGAACACAGCGTGAACCTCTAAGTTCGTTGGGATCCGAACTTGTCGTCTCCAGCGATTGCGTTGGTTGCACCGCTGAAAGGGCAAACAACGACAAGTTCGGATCCCGACGAACTTCGAATTCACGCTGCATCCTCCTCTACGCTGGAATGCATCATGCAAATGTCTACATCAGAGACTTTTTGTTTGTTTCTGGCTGAGGTGCTTTGCGTGCAGTTCGCCGGGAGTTCCCGAAAATTGGGCACCGCGTACTCGACAACCACGTCCCACACAAGTTCGTAGAAAGAGGGTTGTCAACGGTTAATCGCGGGTTCGAGAATTGTCGGAGAGAAGCGTTTTCGGGGAACACGTTTGAGGAAGCCCCACCGGATCCAAAATTATCTAATCACTTTTTTCGGAAACCGGAGTGATATGTTTGTGCTGCCCTCATAGTATAGTTGTGAATTCCGCGAATCCGTTGGGATACGAACTTCGCAGCAAGCACCATGAACAACATACCTCAACATTGACGTTCCAGACGTCGATTCCACATCAACAGTTGGCAGGTTGTTTGCGCAGCATCAGATGCAGTTGTGCAATACCACAACTGTGGATGACACATGTGGAATGAATACGACAAAAGTGGCGAGCCTTCCCAGCGAAGTCCGGACCTGGGCGAACTAACACAACCAACTCACGAACACGTGTTTCGAACCCAGCGAGCGCGATCATCATTCTGTGGCCAGATCACCATCATTTGTGACATGCTCGTCGGCTTTATGATCAACGCGCTCGTTGGCTAATAATGAGCGCGGGGGCGCGAGTTTAGTTCAACGGCACCACCATCGTCGATTCGTGTTCCTAGTGATCATCGGCCTTTGCAAACGGACCTCATCCCGTCGTCGACGATCACGACACGAATGACAATGGAATCCCGTCAACGGGCGGTAATCTTACACCGCGTCGACAACACGAAACAATTATCGCGTTATAAAGAACATCGTGCGAGCCGCATGTGCGAGCATTATCGAAAGCTCATCATGTTTTCCCTTTTTCCACTTCACAGCGGGAAGGTTGTTGCGATTACCACGTGGCGACCGGGGAATCACGTCGCCCCTCCGCGCACATGAGGGATCTCATCAATAGGGGAGAGAAATTGGAGTTTTGGATGCTAACAGGTAGTCATCACGCGGAGGCGCTTTCATTCGTTGATATCATCGCGCGACGACATTGTTCGATATCCAACAGTGATCCCGCCTCCGCGCGATGATTGCCTGTCGGTATTGTTCAGGATCGAACAATGATCCTGCCTCCGCACGATGGTTGTTCGATATCGAACAATGATCCCGCCTCCGCGCGACGACTGTTCGATATTGAACAATGATCCCGCCTTTGCTCGATGATTGTACGTTATCGAACAATGATCCCGCCCGCGCCTTACCATTGCCTGTCGTGGAGCACCTCCGTGTCCCCCCTCTGACCACGCTGTGACGAGAACGCCCGCAAATCGTTTTTCTGCGTGCGAATCGGAACAGCATTGCCGTTGATACGAGGCCAAAGGTTGATTGCCATCTAATTCCGCGGTCACCACGTGTCAATTGCAACAGCCTTCCTATCGAGTTGAGGCAAGCGGCGGATGGGAGGAGTGCGGGCGCAACTCCCGTCTACGTGGCAGCGAGGCAGAATAGGAGAAACCTCGGTCTTGCGTCGATGCCATGGTCTGTGTCGATTGGAGGGAGAGGTGATGCACCTTCCACCTCGTGCCAACGCCAAGGCTTTCGCGAAAACGGATTACTGTTGCACCATGGCCACATGCGCGAAGATGAAGACAGTGCTGGTTTGAAAGGGCGATCGAGGGGAAAGACATCGGTGGATGAGTGGTCGTCGTCTGATGACGTGGAGCCCGCTATGTGCTGTTGCGGGAGGTTGGGCGCAATAAGCGCTGTTGTGCATGCGCCATGCTGCGCAGATGACAGCCGCGCATCCACAAGGCGTACAACTGTTGTCAATGGAGATGGTGATGCGCATTTGCGCTAGACGGAGCCGTTGGAGCAGCGACTCTGTCGTCCGCTCACGATGGCGATGCGCATTCGCGCTGAACGGAGCCACTAGCGATGGCGATCTGGATTCCATCGTACCTTGGAGCTGCGGTCGATGGCGATGGCAATGCACGTCCAAGCAAGACGGAGCTGTTGTCGCAGCACGCCTTACGTCCGCGAAGAAGGTTCGGGCGGAATGGCGTAGCGACTGCGCGACGACGTTGGCGCAACGGAGCTATGCCATGCATCCCAAAGACTGTCATGCAGCCCAACCTTCCACATGCCATCGCGACTCTCAACCGTCCGATGAAAAATCGAACGGCCTTCCGGACCCATACTTGTTTTTTTCCCTGGACCCAGCGGGCCAGCATCGCGCGTCGCAAGCGGCATCACGCCGATCGGCGAATCGGAAGGCCCACAAGCCCCTCATTTTCGTGAAGCGTTTGGGAGCCTGTTGCCGTCAGGTCCTCACATGTTCACGCGGACGAAATGTGGTCCCACTCCCGAACCGGTTCCCGAAGCACTGCGACGACACCACTGTCGTCAATTCCCCAATCCTGTGAGCGCGGCGACAGTCTGAACATGATGTCGAAAAAGGCTGTCCGGTCGGAGCGGAGGGCCCAGTGCGGAGGGCCCAGGTGAGGGAGCTCATAAAACAAAGCCGCCCCCCCGCACGCTCATTTCGCCCTTTCTCGTTTCGCTGAGGAGATGCTGTCAGACAAGCGTCCCGCACTTCCGTGGTCGTCAACGCCATCTGTCATCTATCGCGACGATCGACGCCATCGCCAGTGTGTGCCCTCGCACGTTCTGTGTTGTGTTCACAGCCGCCATCGCACGCCCGCTTCTGCTTGCTGCTACTAAGTTTTCTGCGCTCCTGTCATTTTTGCGCTCCTTGTCCACCTCGCGCGGAGGGCCGCCTTGCATGCTTCAACGCTCAGCACCCTCAGCGTCCGACAACATCGACACGCACTTCTGCCAAGCCTCAGGACATCTTTAGAGAGGTACGTCTCCATGGAAACCGAAAGCGAACCACAATCGCGACATGCGTAGTGGCAACGGTCCTCGGGGTGCGCGTGGGTGTTTGTGTTTGTGTTCGTGTCATTGTTTGAGATTGTGTTTGTGTTCGTGTTTGCGTTGGTGTTTGCGCTTGAGTTTGTGTGTGTATGGTGTTTCACGTGTTGCGCTACCAACGCGGGCTTACATAGTCTGGATTGGGAGAAAGAAAAATCAGAATGCGCGAACTCGTTACAGACACTCACTTTGCGTCTACTCTCAATTAGAATCTACTGGATTGATCGATGTTCAGGCTTTCTTTTACATATGTATCGTACGCCATGATTCGTGTGATCCAATCGACCGATCCATGAATCGACAACTGAATGTGATCGTCTGCGTCGTTGTTGGTCGATCAATCCAACAGAGCAAGGGATGGTGTTGTCTGCCAATAAACAACTGAATGCGACCACTTGCGTGTTTTGCCGCGCACAATCAAACATTGAATGTGATTGATCGCCAATCAAACGAGAAGTCGGTGTATGTGCGTCAATCAGATCCGCAGATCAATCCTTCAATCCAACGCGATCGTGGAGGTTGTGTGCGGGGGTGTCCGCGCGCCCTGCTGTCCGAGTGTGCCCTTCTGTTCTCAAGTGCTCTTTTGTCCACGTCGGCAAACCGAACGTGTATTTTTTGAGGTAGTCAAGTCTTTCTGTCCATTCGCGATCTCTCCAGAAATGCACAGGTCGATTGACGCGCATGTCGTGCGGCGTGTGCGCGCACCCTTCGCCATGTTTGTCTGCGCAGTAGAAAGAAGGTTAACAACAGTCGTATTTTTTCATCACCACTTCAGGACATTCTTCACAACTTCAGGATGCAGCCTGCCTAAACAGGTGGTTTTCAGGGTTTTCGGACCTCTCACCACTTCAGGACACCCTTCACCACTTCAGGATGCAGCGTGCCTAAACAGGTGGTTTTCAAGGTCTTCGGACCTTTCACCACTTCCGGACCATTCAGGTCTGAAAATCCTGAATGGTCTTGAAGTGGTGAAAGCTCCGAAGACCCTGAAAACCACGTGTTTAGGCAGGCTGCATCTTAAAGTGGTGAAGGGCGGTTTTCATGATCTTCGGACCTTTCACCACTTCAGGACCATTTATGATTTCCAAACTGCCAAAAACTCTTACTTGACCACTTCAGGACACACTTCACCACTTCGAGATGCAACCTGCCTAAACAAGTGGTTTTCAGGGTCTTCGGACCTTTCACCACTTCAGGACCATTCAGGATTTTCAGACTGTCCAAAACTCTCACTTCAGAATTTTCATTCATGAATTTTCAGCTACCCAATAATCGCTTGTGGCACAGTAGGGGAAGAAATCGACAGAACGATCATGATCCAACAATCGACGAATTGTTCCTGCGCGTTCAGTGTTCGTTTGTGTGTGTTAGTTAGATTTCCACTCCTTAAGACCACACATCAATCAAAAGTAGCAAACAAGCGTTCAATCGACCAAGGAGTCTGGCTAATAAACAAGCACTAGAATGATTAGAATCAATCAAGCAATGAATCAAATGCTCGTGTCGGTGATCAAACCTTGCGTTAATCATCACATTGATGACTGGTCCAACGCAATCATTCGTCTACCCAACCATTTGTCACCTGTCAACAAATGTCTATCGTTTGTGTTGTTCTATTTGTGCAACAGGACGCGGAGAACACCGCATCTTCACATAGCGACGACCAATATTTCATAGCGTTGTCGCAGATCGCGGACATGTCCCTATATCTCTCTAGATCTACCGGGATCACCGGTGTGTCGGAGAGAGAGACAGAGAGAAAAATACGGATGTTCGGCGAACTTCTACTTTGGCCGGTCTGCTGATAAACAAGGTTCGATGTGGCCTGACAGCCAACACTGGCCATAAGGTCACATCGAACCTTGGTTATCAACGAACCACCATCGGTTCGTTGATAACATTGGTCATCGGGTCGCGTCGAACCTCGGTTATCAACGAGCCCGACGATATGTATTTTTTATGTGCATATCTAACTCTCGCGCAAATTCGTTCCCTCATGCCAGCATGTGTCCGTCCGGTTCTCCCCATTTCGATCTATCTCTCTCGATCTCTCTCTATCTCTCTCCATCTCTTCCTCCACCTCTCTCTCGAACTCTCAGCCAATTTCCCAGTCCTACATTATGTTGAAGTCCGGATCCCGACGGACTTCGCATTTTCACATATCCCCTGATATGGATGTCGTCTTTCTGCAGCCGCGCGGATTTGACTAACAACTCAAGTACGTCCACATCCGAGCTTCACGTTGTCGGGACTGGTGAGTCCCGAACCGTCACCTGAGAGACTGTATATGGCTAATTTGTGCACGGCAGAGAAAACCTGAGGCAATAAGGATGAGAGGATCAAGGCACGGGCTTGGACGCTAAGGATCTAGGAGCTGCCCAAAGTTGTTGGGACTATCAAACTAGGAAGAAAATTGACAGAACGGGGAGCGGCGGAGGCACGCAAGAAAGTGGCGAAGGCGACCCTTCCCCTAAAGCGGAGAAGGACCGCCAAGAAAAGTAGTGGCAAAGGATGCGCGTTGCAAAGAGAGAAAAGAAGCAAGGGAAATGGGTGAATGATACGTGAGGCGCCGGCAAGAGAAAACGTAGTCGGGCCAAGTAGGCCGCCAGGACGCGGCAGCAAGGGGGTCATGGGCCAAGTAAGGACTCACGCCCGGCGGGACAAGGTGTCGGGGACCGCATGAGATCAAGAGAAGATGTGGTACCGGCGGTACAAAGTGCCGGAGACCGTGTGAGACCAAGAGAAGATACGGTACCGGCGGGACAAAGTGTCGGGGACCGCGTGAGACCACGAAAAGATGCGGTACCAGCGGGACAAAGTGTCAAGGACCACGTGAGACCAAGAAAAGATGCGGTACCAGCGGGACAAAGTGCCGGGGACCGCGTGAGACCAAGAAAAGACATGGTACCGACGGGACGAAGTGTCGGGGACCACATGGGACCAAGCAAAGGTACGGCACCAATGGAACAAGTGTCGGGGACCACATGCAACTAGACAAGAATGCAGTACCGATGGGACAAAGTGTTGGGGACCACACGGGACTAAGACTAGTGTCCGGGACTAGTGTCAGGGACCATTGCGGGACAAGTGGCGGGAACTGTGACGTCCGAAAGAAAAATTGCGGCACAACATGTGGTGCAAAAAAATAAAATAAGTGGCACCGTCAAGATCGAGGATCTTGACGGTCAAAAATATTAGCACGCAAGCACTAGTGGGAGCTAGCGGGAGGGCCAAAAGAAAAATAAAAAGAAAAGAAGACAAGTGCTAGAGGCATGGGAGCAATCCGGAAAATCTCGGATTGACCTCCCCCAAGGAAAATGGAGCCGTAGGGGCTCCATGAGAAAAATAGGCCTTCCGGAGAAATTCGGTGCATGGGGGTCTACCGTTTGGAAGGGAGAGGGGCAAACGGTGGCTCTCAAGGGCATGGAAGGGCCATAACTGCAGTCCGAAAAATAACAGACTGGCCCTTGGGCATAGGAAGGGTCAAAACTAAGGAGAAAAGGCAAGAAAAGGGCCTTAACGGCTAGTTGACACTTGACATGCAAAAAGAAAAAGAAAAAGAAAAAAAAAAATGTGGGAGAAAGAGACAAGGGAGGTGAGAGAGAGTGGGTGAGTTGGCCATTAGTTGGGACTGCAGCAAGTTGGGATTGCCAAGTCCCAACTGTCCAAGAAAGGAGGGAAAAAAAAAAAACAGAAAACAAAATTGAGAAAAGGGCCTTAACGGCTAGTTGACACTTGGCATGCACAATGAAAAAGAAAACAAAAGGAAAATGGGAAGTGAGAGAGGATGAGTGAGTTGGCCGTCAGTTGGGACTGCAGCAAGTAGAGATCGACAAGTCCCAACTGTCCACAAGTGGAGGGAAAAGAAAAGAAAAAAAAAAAAAAAAAAAAAAAAAAAAAAAAAAAAAAAAAAAANGTGGCGGGGTTGGATGAACCCCGCGGCGGGGGTCCGGGGTCCGCAGCCTAACACCGGCTTTGCCCCCGGG